GATTTTACAGTGATTAGTAACCCCTTAACTTTAAAGGGACACTATAGTCACCAAAACAACTTTAGCTTATCAAAGCAGTTTTTGTGTATAGATCTTGCCTCGGAAGTTTTTACGCAATTCTCTGCCATTTAGGAGTATAATCATTTTTGTTTATGTTTATTCATATATCATTCTCATCCATTTCTTCTACCACAATCATGCTTTCAATCAAACTCTCAACAGTCTTCCTTAATGTTCTCTTATTAATTATTTATTTTTGAATCTACTGGCCATCCTAAAATGGTTCAGGGCTGGCATGAGGGAGTACAGACACACCCCAGTTATAATGTTGCAACATATTTTAATCTGAATTGAGCAGTGAAACTTACCCATACACAGTACTTCGATCCCCTCAAGGTTTTAATATAGCTATGTGTCTTCTATTGAGCGCAATGGTTCATCAAAATTATGTAGGCTATTTTCAAGCAAAAGGTATACACCAATAGGCAATTCAACTCATGCACTTAACTCAAATAGCCAGTTCTGCTCATTAGCAAGAAAATGCAATGGTCCAAGCATGAGTGAATTATAGTAAAGGTCAGGAAAACCCTATTGTGGTAGGTGTATCATTATCAGATTTGTAATGATATATTCACCGGGCCTAAAACTGCTGATGCTTCACCTTGGCTGCTTTGAAATATTAGCAATGCATGTGACAAGGTTTTTCCTTCTTTGATGCTTGTTTTATATGTCGATTGGTCTCACAGCACATAAATTTGAGGAATTGCTCAAAGTTAGTTTAGCTATTCCATCTCTCATGGGAGGAAGCCTTGCACAAAGAATTTGGCTTGCTTATATTTCTTTTATAAATTTGACCTTTTTAAGTAAAGGTTATATGCCATTTACAGCAAAAGGATAGTCAGTATGCTATTTCTCAGCACAATTTGGCAGGTTTCTCCTATGACTAATGTACACATGCACCTTCATTTACAACTTTTTGTTTTTTAGTTCTGACTTTTTTTGTTTTTGATCAGTCTGTTCATGACTTTTATTTGAGTTTGTGACATGATCTATTTCTTTGTTACAGAAGGATGGAGTGAATTATTCTGGGTACTACAGGGATATTGAAGGCTGGTTAATTCTTACTTAGCAAATAAGCAGAAAGTGTTTGTGGCAAAAGAAAAGTTATTTTCAGGCAAACATCTTCTGGTTCTAATTAATGCAGTTGTGGTTATAATATGGCTCTCCAGTATTTAGAGTATAACCACCAGCAGTCTCATTCATTCAAAAGCAGGATGAGCTTGTTAGGAGTTTCCCAACAACGTTCGGTGGCTCTCTGATGCACAGCTTTTGGTTAGTTGTGAATATTAAATCAAAGAAATAAACCCAACACGACTGAATAATTTGTGACTGGGGGCGTGGCTTGGGCACCGGACAAGATGGCTGCTTAAGGGAAGAGCTCCGCTCCACCTGATCCCTGTACAGCACTAAATCATTAGCGACACATGCCAAATGGGCCGCACTCAATGCCCGGAAGCTCCCCAGACACCGAGGGGTACACAGGAGGGCCCCCTTCACGGGTATCTCCAACCGCAAACTAGTGTGAGCGGCGAGGCGGAAAGCCCCAAAATGGCACCGGCATCCTCGTCGGGCTCCGATAACACTGCCCTGGAACGGAAGAACTGAGGAGCCTCACCGCATTCATGGTCACTAAAGCTGACCTCCACATCCTCACAATCACCATACAGGAGACACTGAGGGCAGAAATGGCAGGTATAAGATCGGAGGTGACAGCTCATGCGGTGCTGCATCCAGACGCTTGAGCAGACCACTGAGGCCCATACCAACAAGCCCACTGCAACAGACATGGCAGTAGGCGGCCAGGGGGAAGTTTTACTGGCGTTGGATAAGGATCCGCGGAGTACCCGAAAGTGAAAGGGAAGAAAATGCAGAGGAAATCCTTTTCCAAACACTGCTACCAGCGACTCCCCCCCCAACGCTTTGAATTTGAAAGAGCGCACAGGGCACTAAGACCTAGATTGCTAGAGGATAGCCCGAGAGACCTGATGTGCTGCCTGCACTCTTTTCCGGTGAAGGATTGCATCATGAGAAAGGCCCGCGAGCGACCTACATGGCCCTACAGAGGAACGCAGGTCTCCTTCTACAATGACCTCTCCCCCATTACCTTAGAGGCTCGCCGGGCACTTAGACCAGTAACAGCGGCATTACGTGACCACAATATCTCCTACAAGTGGGGGTTTCTCAGCTAATAATTGCAAATGTATATGTTTACATCTTCTATGCAAACGATCTGCACGATTATTGTGTTCTCTCTCCCTTTATATATACCATCATTTATTGGAAGATTCATCATACATCCAAATAGTTTGTATACATTTTTTATTTTTCTGTCTATAAGTGGTATTTTGCTCCACTCACTGTCACACAAGTGGGGGTTTCCGTTCGCCCTGCTCGCACGCCACCAAAACCGATGGGTTCCACTGAGGTGGCCGGAAGAGGAATTGGAGCTACCGCCTGTGACGGTAGTCAACTGGATTTTGGGGCCCGTGGGACCCCCAACGGGACCCCCAACGAGACCCCAGAGAACAACCAGGAGACGCGACATACGATCACCACCGGGACATGCGTATAATAAGTGAGTACTTACAGACAGATACGGCGCCACCATGCCGCTCACACACCCGGGGACTCTAAATGGCTCCATCATCCGCCTCTCACATAGGCAACCCAGGAATGCTTTGACATTAGTGCACCGGTAATATGGACACATTGCCCTGATCAACCCCCCTGATGTCACAAGCTGGCATTGGACCCGGATCACTGGGGCCCCTGAACACTTGGGGTGGGTTCACTAGCGGGTCTTGGGGAGGGGGGAAAGGGATCTGCAGCTGGGTATGGGACCTCTTGCTCACTCTATACCCCCCAAAATTTAAAGTCCTGGAGAGGGAAGACTCCCCTCGGACGATTGCACACGGACCTGTTATTGGGGTGGGGGAAGGGGAACGGGGTGGGACGGGTCTTGCCTGCCCGGGACCAGGCGCAAAGCAATACCACGTGAGGAGCAAACCGGGTATCCCCCCATCATAATGGGGGATGATGCACAGGGTTTTGGCCTGCATGTGCAACATCAATCCCTGAACGCTTTGGGACTCATGGACACTATTCACGGGACGAGTGGGGAGGACCCAAAGACCTCCATTGGGCCTCCCCCACCTCATGGAGAGGCTCCCTATGGTTGTCGGGGCCCGTCCCCTACCCCACACACGGTTTGACTCCAGAATATGCTATACACCTGTATTGTGTCACAACATGTTAGCATACCTACGATAATCACCACACAATTCTAGCACCTGAACACTACAGGTGGAATGCTAATACAGCAGGGGATAGGACATCCAGGGGGGAGAGGTGGGGGGAGGATGGGGGGACCCACTCCTTGCTTGAGGGATAACTGGGGGGAGGCAGATAACAACACCTGTTATAGAGGGGACGAGAGGCAAGCTCACAACACCCGAACAGACAACCGACCCCGACACTAGGACACCTCACTGAGCACTGGGATAGAGAGATAATAGGCAGGGCAAGGTGGGGGGTGGGTTCACCTGACATTCGACACCATCCCATGGCACAAGTAGGTGGGGCAGATAGACGGGGATCAGGGGCACTGGGTACCAAGGTTATCTCTGCCTCCGACAAGGTCACAGACTTAGCAACGACAGGCTCTCTCCCCCATCAGGTGGGCTTCCTGCTATACCTGAAATGCCAGCTGTACCCAAACTTGATACCACCAGCCACAACTCGGAGTCAGCTACTATGGGGCATGAAGACTACACTTTTAGACATGCCCCGCGAGGGGGGGACCACGGGAATCGGGGTCTGGGAGATAGAATGAGACATCAGAGAACACAGGGGAAGACTAAGGGGGGGTGAGGGACCACGCCTCAGCAGAAGACACCCACACACCTAGGATGTTATTATAGGGCGGGGTTGGCCGGGGGGGGGGATGGAAAATCAGAGATGAGAGGGCATACGTTGCACCTTGGATGTGGGGAGTGGGGGGCACAGTGGAATGTTGAGTTTAATGTTGTTACCCAGTTCATAATGGCTGCAAAACTGCATGCAAGTTTGAATGGAAAGACAACAGTTGTGTCTCATGTTACGCAGAAGGAAGGGAAAGGTGGGGCGGGACAAACCAACCTTTTTCTTTTGCCGCTTTATCTTTGGACGGGGCCGAGTCTGCATCTCCTACCCTACACTCAGGCTAAATTCTCTGCGACTGGACGGTGGGCACGGTCGCCTCCCGGGCTGGTTACTGGGACAACACCCCACCGCGCCCAGCTGCTGCTCGAGTGCCCTCTAGACAGGAGGGAATAGACACGGGATCCACGAAATCCCAACAAGGACCCCGCTTCTAACTACACACCTCACCCACTCACACTCGTCACACACGCATCCACACCACACATTTACACGCCTCCACACACCACTCCCGACCACCTTTCCCTACTCACATACCCGCTCTCTCCTGACCTTGCCCCCACCCCCCCACTCACTCTCCTATCCCCCCCCCCACCCTATCCTTGGTCCGGGCTGGGGGCGCTTGGTCCGGGATTGCTCGCTGCAGGGGGCGGGTGGGCCCTCGCGTCCGAACCCATAGCATTGGAGTACGAATACCAGTCACCAATCAAGAGAGATGGCATACCGCAGTGCACCGATATCGATGCTCACCCTCAACTGTAGGGGCTTTAATGCCCCGGAAAGAAGAACTCATCTACTGAAAGAATTAAAGAAAAAACACATTGCGGTGGCTATGCTCCAAGAAACACACTTCAGAGATGGGGCAGCTCCTCAACTGTGCAACAAGTCGTACCCTAACAACTACTTTTGCAACCACCCTTCGGCCCGCAAATCTGGAGTGGCCATATTGATCGTGGCAGATCTTGAATTTAAGGAATTAGATAGACACCAGGACGTACGGGGGGCGTTTCCTCGTCCTGAAGGGCATTATAGCGGATAAAATATACATATTTGCTACGATCTATGTCACCAATAGACACCAAGCCACATTCCTGAAAGGAACACTGACCAAATTGCGAGACTTCACGGAAGGTACTTTGTTGGTAGGGGGGGACTTTAACACCCCCCTGGATCCGACACTGGACTCGTCCTCAGGCCATAGCTGTATACCCCAACGCAACATCCGATCCATTCGGAACTCCTTGAATAATCTGGGCCTGGTCGACTGCTGTAGGGCCATCAATCCATCCAGTAAAGATTTCACACATTATTCTGCTCTCCACGACCGTTACGCACGAATTGACTATCTCTTTGTCAAACAAGAGGGACTCTCCCGCCTAATCAAAGCAACCATCGAACCGGCAACTTGTTCGGACCACAACCCGGTCCGGATAGACTTAGTCACCTCTGTTCCGCCCCTCCACTTTTACCTGGCGACTGAATGAAGCGCTGCTCGTAGACCCGGTAAACAGGGAACAAATCGGACAGGCCCTGGACCTCTACTTCAGTGAAAATGACAAGGAGGAAGGAACGTCCCCCATAACATTGTGGGAATCTCACAAGAGCGTAATTTGCGGTACGCTCATCCGGATAGCGTCTCAGAAAAAAAAAGCCGCCACCCGAGAAAGGGCAAAACTTTGAGACCATCTCAACTTTAGAGTTACAACACAAACGGCATCACCTCAACGCAATCTACAGTGAGCTCATGGAGGCCAGACGAGCATTGAGAGACCTTATAGTGAGGAGGCACCTTCGTGCTCTACAGAGCACGAGGTGCTTCTTTTACGCCCATGCTAACAAGGCGGGTAAGTACCTAGCCCAACTCCTGAAGGGCATTAGTCCACGAACACAAATCCGCAGCTTACGCCTTAAATCGGGCGCGATCTCCCCCTTCCCTCAGGAGATAGCAGATGAATTTAAACACTTCTACCAATCCCTGTACAACCTTCCACCACCCATGGGGTAGGAACGAAGGCAGCACAACCAGACCCTGCGGACCGCATACCTAAACACCAACATCACGGAGGTAACCTATCAGCACAGAGGAGCTAGCCTTCACCCTGAAGAGCGCTAAAACCGGCAAAGGCCCGGGACCGGATGGCTTCTCCGCTGGTTACTATAAAAAATTCGCCGGGAGACTTCTACCATGGCTCACGAAGGCTCTCAACGCAGTGGTGGAGGGGGGGAGACCGGAATCCCTGTCCGCAGCGATAACCGGAACTAAAACCAGGGAAGGACCCACAATGCTGTGGTAGCTATCGACCGATATCCCTCATAAATGTTGATACCAAACTGTTTACGAAGGTGCTCGCAACACAATTACAACCCTACCTCCCGAACCTGATCCATGTAGATCAAACTGGCTTCATCCCTGGGCGTGAAGCGCGAATCAGCACCCTACGACTCTTCTCCATCCAACATCTGGCGAGGAAGAGGGGGGAACACCTTCTGCTGCTATCGACGGACGCGGAGAAGGCGTTCGATCGGGTCAATTGGCAGTATATGATTGCCACGCTGGAGGTGATGGGCCTAGGACAAACCCTTCGGACGTGGATATCGGCCTTATATAGCACACCACGAGCTTCCATGAGGGTCAACGGAGCCCAGACAGCCGACTTTGCAATACACAACGGTACTCGGCAGGGATGCCCCCTCTCCCCACTGTTATTCTCCCTGTCCTTGGAACCACTCCTGCAGGCGATCCGCAGGGGTACGAAGGAGGGGGAACGACTCATAAAGTGGCGGCGTATGCCGACGATTTACTCTTCTTTATTAAGCACCCCCGAATTACTCTACCAAACCTGCTGATGGAATTTGATCCCTATAGTGAAATATCAGCATTTAAGCTCAATCTAACAAAATGTGAGGTACTGAACCTTACATTACCCACAGCTGAATACAGGATGTTGGAATCCGACTTTGCGTTTAGATGGTGCCATGGCAAAATGAAATACCTGGGCATCTGGGTAACCACAGAACCTGGGAAACTCTACGAGAACAACTTCCAACCCCTTCTACACATAATAAAAACTGATTTGGCCAGGTGGGCCTTCCCACACATAACGTGGCATGGGCGCATAGCTGTGCTTAAAATGAACGTGCTCCCCAGGGTGCTATATCTCCTGCAGACAATACCCACCATGCCGCCGGCGACCTTCTTCTCCTCCCTGAAAACCGCGGTGATCCGCTTTACATGGCGAGGTGAACGCTCCAGACTGCGACACGACATCCTATGCCTGCCCAGATCCAGTGGGGGATTAGCCCTGTTGGACTTTAGAAAATATCATCAGGCCATGGTCCTCCAGCGTATTTTAGACTGGCATCAGAACCCTCCCTGTAAGTCTTGGGCAATGCAGGATAGAGAGGCCACGGAGGGCATGATGGAAACAAAGATCTGGGGAGGAGACCTGCAAACTCAGGAGTGGGGGGGGAAGAGGAAGGGCCGGTCACACAAACACTCCGGGGATGGAAATCCTTAAAGGAAAATCCAAACATATCACCTACACCTAGCCTACTGCTCCCGGTGACGCAAAACAGCAAAATTGGGGGAGGCCTGCCAGCCAGAGCATGGGGATTCCTGGGTGAAGGGGACTGTATACCCATAAACCGGGCCCTAAGCGCCGACGGACTTCGAGATCTGGACACACTCCTGGAGGGGAGACCACGGACCCTCGTGACCACCCTCAGATATATGCAGCTGAAACACTATTACACAACGCTGACACACAGAGAATGTCTACATAGGGAACTGACGTGGTTCGAGGGCTTGTGCGAACAAGGCACCACAATGGAGCATGCAGTTTCCACAATGTACCAGCAACTAATCATGAACGACCAGACAACCGTGGACACCTTCAAGAGGCAATGGAAGGGGTCCATGAATAAGACATTCACCATGCCACAATGGGATAAGGTCCTGATATGGCAACACAAGAGCTCCATGAGCTCCTACTACCAAGAGGTCGGCTACAAACTGATTTTATCTTGGTATAGAACACCTACTGTGATCCACCGAATATTCCCGGTGGTACCACCGACATGTTGGAGATGTCAAAAGGAAAGCGGCACGCTGATACACCTGTGGTAGGAATGCCAAGACATACTCCCGTACTGGGACATGGTGAAAACAGAGGTGACTCTGGTGCTGGGAGATATACCGGACTGGTCGGCAGAACTAGCCCTATTACACATCTGCATTACACATCAGCAAACAATCTCGAGCTATGAGAAATCAATCCTTCGACACTTATTGAACGCAGCCAAGGCATCCATCCCGGCTTACTGGAAACAAACCGCCATCCCGACGAAGACAGAGTGGATACAACGGGTGGAAGACATACAGAGCGCAGAGGCACTCCATGCCTCCTTAACGGGAAGGGAACTCAAGCATGTAGAATTATGGAGCTCGTGGTTCATGTACATCGCTCGATACTCTCGTGGGGGGGCGCTCCCGGGCCCAGGGCGGGCGCGGAGACGGGCGTGGGCCCCTCGTAGTGCGAACCACCCACCTCACCTCATTCCCCCCCCACCTCCTCCCACCCCAACCTTACCCAGACACATGAGAGGAACCCTGACATGGAAAATGTAAGGCACGACACGGGTGCGCACACACCGACCCACCAGCGAGGGACAAGACACAACACACACACTTCATTAACACAACCAACAGAACGTCACACATACCAACAGAACATGAAAGAGTAGAAGCAGACGAGGCAAAGGTCGCATGTAGAAGGACATCCTCCCTGATCACAAACATATTGTCAATAGTACACCGACAAACATTTCCTAAATTGTTAAGGACTTGATTTTCCTCACCGGAGCACAGGGACGGATAGGCCAGCTAGATAGAATAGGGTCATATACCACAGGGTCTGATGCAGCCCACCTGTCTAAGTATGGTAAACCTCGAGCTACAAGTCACAGGTGAACATACAAAGTTAGACAGGAAGCAGAATGCTATACCCTTTGATATACATCAGAGGAAAAGGAGGAAGGTAACTGATATGCTGATCGATGGAAAACCTTAGGGCTACGACCCAGCCCAGGAGCATAACTACAACCAAGCTCTTATGATCATACTTACCACATGAGTTTTGTGTTTGTGCCCTCTTTTTGATGAGGACCTGCGCGTCCCATGTGAACAATCTCTTTGTTATCTATTACCTCTGTTACACTTCACTAAAAACAGATTTACAAAAAAATAATAATTTGTGACTGCTACACCAACATAAAAAAAGAGTTGGTTGACAATATTGAGTAGCAACTGGCCCTTAAGAGATTAAGCAAGATGAAAAATCCAAACATATTTTAAAGGAGTTGGTTGTGTTCTCCATAAAGTTTAAAAAACAACAACATTTTGACAAGGAGATGCAAAAATGTTGTGAAACATACTTTATATAGCAATTTCTTTGTCTGATTATGTTAATTTTTTTAGATAGATAACATGTTTCTCTAATTTGAAATAGCTATAAATGTTAAAATGTTCTTTCTTATTAAAAATCCTAATTAATTTCAAATAAGCGGAAAGCAGAAAATAAGCAGAAAGTGTTCGTGACAAAGCAAAAGTTATCTTCAGTCAACCATCTTCTAATTCTAATAGCTGCAATTGTGGTTTTAATATGGCTTTCCAGTATCTGGAGTATAACTACCAGCAGTAACTTCCATTAATTAAAAAAAAAAAAAAAGCATTTCTCAACTCTAAGCACCAACACCAATGCAGCCATCTGAAGTGGCTATAATGGAGGGATCATGTCCCTGTATCTTTTTAGAATATAAGCTCTGATGTAATTTGGAGCTTGTAGATCCACCCCTGACTACACTACTGGGTAACTGATCTCACTGGTAAAAAAAAAAGATTAATTTTATCCAATATGTGAACAGCGTTCGCCAATCACACACTGGCATAGTGCAACCGTAATGTCATTAATTGCCTCATGTAGCGGCAGACCTAACACTGGTCCAGCTGTACTGGGACCTGCAAGTAGGATCACTTGATGGGCATGTGTCATCAGCAGTGGCGTACACACAATCCACGGGGCCCCGGTGCGAAACTGATCCATGGGCCCCCCCTGACAGACACACACACAGATACATACATACATACAGACACAAATACATACAGAGACACATACATACACACAGACACATACACACATACATACAGACACACAAACATACATACAGACACATACATACAGATACACACACAGACACATACATACAGATACACACACAGACACATACACACATACATACAGAGACACATACATACACACAGACACACATGCACACACACATTCAAAGACACAGGCAGACACACACACACATACATACAAACAGTGTGTCAGTGTGTATATCTCTGTGTCTGTGTAGCTGCATGTATGTCAGTATGTGTATC